ATTACACTGTTGTGCCATCTGTAACCAACACATTTAGTGGGTCAAGTTCTTCAATTGGACATCCTAATTTCTTGGCTATTTCCATATCCCGAAAATTGTGGGTGCTCCCACTATTGATTAGAATATGTAGTGGCTTCTTGTAGTATCATGTGAACCTTATTGTTTTGAAATTGGCCACCCCTATGAGTATGTCCATTGTTGTAGTATCAGTAGTATTCCGATGCTATGTTTTTCTGTCGTAACTTCATTAGCTTTGCCATAGGATTGGCTCAAATGTCTCCAAAGTATTCGATTGGAATATGTGTATATTCCTTCCAAGATGAAAAAGAATGTGTATGTACATTTTTTATGAAAGTCGTGTACCATTCCAGTCATTTTCTTCTAAATGCACGGCTATGAGCTTTACCTTCACCTCCTCAGGTCTGCCATCAAGCAAGAAGTAAGTATCGCACTAATAGATCTAAAGATTCACATTTTCCCTGTTGAATCTTACGAAATCAATGCTTGCCAATCGTGTCCCACACGAATATTGAGTGGCAGTGTTACCCAATTGTGTTACAGTGGCATACAAGTGGGTATTTGCTTCAGAATCTTGGGCTTTTTTGATCAATTATTGCATGGTATTCTGCAAGGATTTGCCTAATGTCCTTTATATTGAGCCCACTATCTCCATCAGACATGCTTCCACTTGTGATGTCAACTTGTCTTTCAAATCCTTCATTGCTACTTGTCCTCTGGTTGCCTCTGCCATTATGGTGGTCTTTGGAAGGATAAGTTGATACCTGTTAAGGTTGTAGAATAGCTCTATTAATTTCTATGAATTTGAAGAACTACAGAAGTAAAAGGAATCCTATAGCAAAGAAAAAACTATGATGTTTATTGATTAAAGAGAGTTTACAGAAAAGATGATTACAATTTCTCAATGAATGACTGAATATTTCGTATACTTGTTTTATATAGCTAAGTTTTATAATAATCTAACTAAAATACCAAAAATAACCTATATCATGGAATTGTTTCATAAACCTGCATTTAATGTCACAATACTTAGCTGAGCATAACACAACGCCCATACACAAAAGTTATAAAGATTCAAGGTACAAATGCTTACTTTTATCAAACATTCATATTTTCCTTCTAATAATTATCTAAATTCGCGCATTCACATCTTTTCTAACAGTGTTGTCGAATGACAGAAATGGTGGCGCCATAGCATATTGCCATGGCAGTTTTTGAGCTTGTCGTTAAACTACTTTTGTTATATGGCTTTTTTATGTGGTGGCGTACCATGGTGGCCGTTACACACATAGCGGTAATGACAGCTATGGCGGAAAACTTTCAAAAATAAAGGATTCAGTAATTTGGGCCCAAATCCGACCCGGTCCAAGGGTGACTCGCACAAAAAACTTAGGTAAGTCCTTTTATTCGTCTTGTATTACCCTACTCTCTCATCTCTGTTCGTCTCCAATCCCTCTTATCTTTGTTCGTCTCTCTATCTTCTCCGATGTAGCACTAGTCTTAGATCATCCAGTGGAGGAGATTGGAGAAGATAAAGTTGTGTAAGTGATAAAGGATAATGGAAGTAATTATGTCTTGGCTGGTAAGATGTTAGAAGCAAAAAGACAACATCTTTATTGGACTCCTTGTGCAGCTCATTGCATAGATCTTATGCTTAAAGATATTGGAAAACTTCCCTTGATAAAGAAGACAATTCAAAGGAGAATATCAGTTGTTGGATTTATTTACAGTCATTCAAGTACCTTAAGTTTGTTGAAAAATTTTACAAATAAAAGGGAATTGGTGATACATGCAGTTACTCAATTTGCAACTTCTTTTCTATCATTAGAAAAGCTTCACCAAGAAAAAGAAAATCTTAGAAAGATGTTTACTTCTGAGGAGTGGTGTAAAAACAAGTTGTCAAAGGAAGCTAAAGGGAAACAAGGAACAAAAATTCTATTAAATCCTGTATTTTGGAATGATGTGATATATACTTTGAAAATCATGACTCATTTTGTCTAGGTGTTATGTTTGGTTAATGGGGAAAGAAGACCAACTATGGGGTATATTTATGAAGCAATGGAGAAAAGTAAAGAAGCTATTATGAAGTCATTCAAAAATAATGAAAGTAAATACAAAAATGTGTTTACAATCATTGATAATAGATGAACTTGTCAGCTTCACCATCCATTACATGTAGTTGGTTACATTTTATATCCAGAATTCTACTATGACAACCCTCAAATAAAATTTGATTTGGAAGTTACAAATAGGTTGTATGATTGTATCAAGAGGTTGGTGCCAAGTCAGGATGTGCAACAAAGCATACTACTTGAATTACCAATTTATAAAAGTGGTGGTGATCTCTTTGGGTCTGACTTTGCAAAATCAAAAAGAAACAACATTGCTCCTAGTAATTCATCAAAATCTTTAACATTTTAATTTTAGGGTTATAATTCATCTTTAGAGTTATAATTTATCTTTCATTTTATAGCTCAATGGTGGAGAATGTATGGACATTCAACTTTATATTTGTAGTAACTAGCTCTCAAAATTTTGAGCTTGACATGTAGTGCATCTAGATGTAAACGCAACTAGAGTATTTTTGAGCAAGTAATTTCTTATCTCTTGAACCTACTACTTTCTTTTAAAAATTAGAAAGAAACTAATTAATATTCTTTTAATTAAACTCACGTTGCAGATTCATTCAAAGAAGAGAAATATGCTTTATCATAAAAAATTACATGACTTGATTTATGTGAAATACAACCAACAACTCAAAGAACGTTACAATCTTAAAGATGTAATTGATTCAATTACACTCAATGACATTGATGAGTGTAATAAGTGGTTGGTTGGAGAAATGAATGATGATGCTCAAGACGAGGATGCTGGAAATGACTTAGTTTTTTTTATGGTGATAACACTTTAAATTGGGCAACTGTTTATGAAGCTTTTGGAATTGGAGAGCCTACAAAAGAAAAGAAAGAGTCCATCAAGTGGTATCACTATCAAAGCTGCAAAAGTTTATAAGATCAAGACATATTCAACAACAAAAGGAAAAGAGAAAATGGTTCTTGAAGATGATGACGAAGAATTAAAAGATGAAGAGATGTCAGAAGAAACAAAAGATGAATTACAAATTAATCTTCCACAATCTTAGGGAGAAGAGGAGGGATATGCTTTGGTGGATGACAAACAGGATGATTATATTGGAGTTGAAGAATATGACTAAATTGATAATATTTGTTTTTAATGTTAACTTGACATTTGATAATTGTATATTTTGTATTTAATTATGCTTTGGATTATGGGTTATACTACATATATTTTGAGTTAATTATTTTCTATCATTTTTTTTGACCTATAGTATTTTTTTATATATTTTATTATATCCGCCATAACCTGCCATGGCCGTTGCCATAACTTTATGACAGTTTTTTGAGTTTTCGCCATGAGCTGCCATCCACCATTGATAACATTGTTTCTTAATTCTTCACACCAGTTTTACACTTCATTCATCAAGATTCAAGGTACAAATACTCTATGTTCTTAATTAACCTTCATTATCTCTTCTATTTTCTACTTTTACCTTCTCATGTATTTGGATTATAGTAAGAAAACTCTAGGATCTTAATTTTTGTATTTCTTAATTTTTTTATGATTGATTCATACTTATAATTGTTGAATATACTAGAGAATTTTGGTTGAATGTAGTAACCTATGAATATGTATGTGTAGTACAATTAGGTTTAGTTAGTGTAATTTATCTGTTTGATAAAATGTCGTATAATTTATCTGTTCGATAAAATGTCTTATTGAGTTTTGGTGCATAAGTTAGCAAAATTGGGATTTAACATATGGTTACTAACTTCATTCCAAAAAAATTAATATACATATAAGGTTTAAAGTTTAAGGTACAAGTAATTGAAAATATCAAATCAGTGAGTGTGTGTATTGATTCAATTGTTGAAATACATCAATTGTACACTCTTAATTGTTGAAATTATTTCTTGAATAATACGTACTTAAAAGAGCAAGTGAATTAATTTCTTGACAAATATAAATACATATAAATTATGGATCTATGTAATTTGATTAATTGTGAAATTAGTATGCAGGTGAGAACCAGAGATGATTTTTCTGAGACTTTACAGAAAGAGAGCTAGAGAAGAAAAAACAGTAGAAAAAGTTGTTAGAGAAAGTAAAAGAGCCAAAAAGAAGGAAGTGGCTAAAGGGAAAAGGTAGATACATATTCCCAACCTGAGTTTCAAGAATCCTAGAGGTTCAGCTGTATAGATGCTGAGAAACAATTCAAGTTGCACTGTCAAAGGAGACTGGTGACTAAAGATAGGGCAATTCAGTTGCAAGAAGACGACTATCCCCTAATCACCACAGAAATAAAGGAGAGAAAACGGGAGAGACTTTGCAATCTGGTAAAACAGAGCTACTAAGAGATAACTAGGAAGCATGATTCAGTTTTAATGTGAGGGACCAACTTATCAACTTCAATTTAGCAACTATTAATGAGTTGCTTGAACTTGAATACATGCAGATTCCCCTCCATGCTAGTTTAGGAGGCTTGTGGATCAGTATGTTGATGAAAAAACAATCCTTACTATCCTTTGCAATTGATGCACTTGCAAAGCCTTATTTGCTTTTACTTATTCAACTTTGTCACTCTCCTAGGATTTATGACGATTTCTTCAAGAGCCAAGAGTCAAGAGTCTTATATATCATATTTCTACTAACAATTCTACTATGTTTCTTATTATCCCTATTTGTATTTGTGTGAACATATATAACTAATCATCCTTGATTAAGAGAGGATAAACTCCTTTAATTCTCATGTATTATTAATGCAATTTCATTCTTATTTACCTTTTTTCTTGCAATTGATAGAATTTCTCTTCACTTAATGCATTATTTGGTTTGGTCACCTAAAGAGTGATATCAAACATTATTTCTCAATTAAAAATTTGGTTATTCAGTGAGAACTGAGTAATTCATTCACCATACTTATTAACCTAAAACCTTTTTAAAATCTCTTTGTTGGGCTTTTTCCAATAACCTCATGCTATCCTATGAATTACATGTCGTAGCATGTCATTACCACTACACGTCCATGCACATTTTAACTTGTGCCACGACAAGACATCATAATATAAATTATCATCGTGAGCTTATTACGGTGCCATCTTTTGACAACATGAACCTGTTTGTTGCGCTTTTTAATTTTTATTGACCTATTTGGACTTTCTATTTTTTTTTTTCTTTTGAGCTCAACTTACCTAAAAAGCATTAAAACAAGTATTTATAATTCAAATATATCTATATGTTTTATTTATATTATGACATTCATGAGTAAAACTAACCAACACCAAAGAACTATAATTTATTACAAGAATCACTCTACCACACCCCAAATAAATATTATCATATTGGTGGTTAGTGAACCATTATTGTTTCGTTATTTTCACTCAAACTAAGAATTTAGTTGAAACTCTCAATAAGTTCTCAAAATTTGATAAGTTGGATTGACAAGAAAAAGTTCATGACTCAAAAAGAATTCTATTTTTATGTCAAATCATGAAGCTACAAGTTTTTCTCATGCATCATGATCATAAATCATTTGAACTACAAGTTTAGCTTCGTATGTTTACCAAAGACATATTTGAATTGAAATTGATTATATTATTTGACATTTAATTTCTAAATATTTACTTTTCATATATTGTTATAGGAATGTGTTTTTTTTCTGGGCTGGTGTTTATAGATTAGTAGGATGTTCTGCCCTTTTTTCAAGATTAAAATAGAACTTCCAAAGGCACTAAAAATGGGTTGCATTTTGGATTGGATCACTTAAACTTTGTTTGGGAATTGATATTTAGAAGACGAGAGAGGAGAAAGTTTCCATTGTGGTTATTCTTGTTTGGAAGTTTTAAATGAAAGGGAAAAGGTTTATTAACCTTCCAAAACCCTCCTAATCCCATGTTTTCAAAGTCACCTAATTTGAAGAGTTTTGTATTAATCCTTCTTTCTCCTCTCTTCCTCTCTCCCAAACTCTCAAATAAAGCTTTAAGCTACTTTTGCTCCAGCTCAGATGAGTTCAATTCAGAGTCCCAACCTCTGTATACCCTCGCCTCCAACCACCTCATCCTCAAGGTCTGAATCTCGGCTCCCAACTCTAAGGACCCGTAATCTGAACCAACGGTTAATCAATGTCTACATATGACCCTGAATAAGTGTCTATTACTGCATTTCAGCGCTTTTCTCTTTACAATCTACTCCCGGGGATTGGTGTGGGCCTCCAAAACTTGGTATACAACAAAATCTTCTTACATGCACTATCCTTAATGCCTAAGGACAAATCCGAGAGATCATTTAGTTATTTTTCTGAATAGACTAAACACCTGCACGGATTAAGTAAATCATCTAAGTTCATGCATTTAAATTAGGGGTTACCTTCTTACTTGACAAAAAAGATCTTAATTTTCAACATAGCATGCGTTAACAATATGAGGAGAATGAATTTAAAGGATCACCCTTGGCTCAGCTTATTAAAATACACGACAATAACTCCCCAAAAGAAAAAAAGAAAAAAAAAACAGATACATATCCCTAAGCATTGAATGCATTGGCTCCAAAATCTAATTTTAACAGCTTATCAACTTCCCAAAAAAAAAAAAAAAACCAAGAAAAATCAAGTAATCAAGGAAGGATCTTGCGTCGCCGGCGTGGAGTCTCTCGCCTCACATACATTTTCTCCATCTCGTTCAGTGATCGGGTTGATCCATCAGGCATGCTAGCAAATTTCCAGCCGCCGCCACCTCCACGCTTTCCCCGGGAACCCATTTTCTCTACTATAAAAGTCCATCCGTCTGAAGAGCGCCGTCGACTATACTTGTGGCATTTAACCTCTCCAGCCATCTGCGCAGAACGAAAATCACATTGTTCAATGAGATCCACAAATAAGAATCTGAATAGCAGCAAACAAGACAGAGAATATGTTCAACCATAGACCATAGCAGTAATTAAAATGTGTAAAACAACAACCCAAGAATAGTTTGCCACAACTAGTTTTGAACTATTATTTCTTTTATAGAAAAATATTTTGATTAAACAATGAAAAAGGAAACTAAATAACAACCAACTTTTATCTTGCTACGGACAACTATACATGGATTAATCGATGCTATTGGACTCCATACAAAACTAAATTTTTCCTAAAGCCATTTAAAACAATGTTAGTGGTTATTGAATTCTCCCAAAGTTTTTATAGGTTTCTATCTACCATTTTTAATTGGAACATCATCCATTAGATTTATACTAGAGCTTCTATTTGTCTCTTTCTCACATCATCAGACTACTTCAGAGTTCAAACAAGCTTTCATAATCTCCTCCTTAGTAGGTGCTACTCTGACTTCTTCCCAAATATTTTTTATCCAATTCTTTCAGATGTTCACTCATCTAACTTAGCATTCTGATCTCTGATACACTATTTTTGTTCTAGTTTGAACTTCATTCACAGCCAATATTCAATACCATAAAATATGGTTGGCAACTGGCACCTGTGTGATAGATTTTTTTTTTTTCCTTTTTTCAGTTGATAGCCACTTGGCACTCAAAAATTATGCCTGAAGCATTTGTCCATTTCAACTACTAGCTTCAATCCACATGACAATCTGATAGGCTCACAAGAGTGTACAATAGAAAGAAGTGGGAGGGAATAGGCGGGAAATTCAATAAATAGCCAATTTTAGTGGTTATGGCTGCTGTAATTTTGTATTAGTTACCGTTAAAAATAGTCATATGATGGATTAGTGAAGTAGTTGTTTTTTGTAATTGGGAAACTTGGAGAGTGGGGTTCTCTCAAATAACTCCCCTGGTAATCAATTGTAAATCACTATCACTTTGGTACTGATTTGGGAATCAGGGCTTTCTTAATAAAATTCAAAAGTTTTTTTCAGTAATTCTGTACTAGTAATATCAACTGGTATCAAAGCGCCAATGTTGGTTTTGTGGTTCAGCCAAAATCTATGGTGAATATAAGGATGGAATCAAGGATTGAGATCTTGGAGCAAACACTTCAGGAGGCAAATCGTGAAAGAGAGAATCAAGAAAACATGCAACATGAACACTTCCAAAAACTTGAAGATATGATTAGGAATCTTATAGATGTGGTAGGAAGATTGTCACAGGGAAAGAAACAAGATTGCTAGTCAGATGTTGATGACATTAGTTCAAACATTGGGGTCCAAGAGCAAACAACTACAACAAAACCATAATTCTTGATGGCAAAAACTCGATATACCCATTTTCGTTGGGGAGGAGGCATATGGTGGACAAAAAGGCTCTAAACTAGTTTCAATGGTCAGAATCTTGTAATCCAAATCGTTCAAAATAGCAATGGTAAGGTTGTTCCAACCTAATATGATGAAAAACCTGTTTGAAATTCTGATCAGGTTGACACAAAAGGGTACCGTACATAGAACAATTTGAGGTTTATGCAAGGTTCTTGAAGGGAATGGAACAAGATTATTTGGTGGGTATATTTTTAAATTGATTAAAGGATGACATAAAGGCAGAAGTGAAGCTACATGAACCAAACAATTTAGCAGATTTGATGACAGGCTCAAATGGTTGAAGAGAAAATTCACACGGTGGTTAAAGTGGAGACACAAGCAGGGAATAAAGCAACTAGCATGTACAGACCCTATTATGCAACTAGAAGCTATTCTAGAGACCCAAGACTATGAAACATAAATCACTTTGGTGGATAAATTCTGCATTTGCCGTTTCCTGTCAGCAAAATGTTCTATCTGCCCTTGAGCCTTAGTCAAATGAAATTATAATTGACAGAGTGCTTCATCACGGTCTTTCAAATCTCATGCCACGGCTACACGTGATTCTCCTTCACCATACCCGACAACAGTAGGAGGCTTTTGACCATAGACCTCTTCAAATGGGGTAGTATAACTGGAGGAGTGATAAGTGGTATTATATCATAACTCTGCCCAAGACACCCAAAGGGACCAATTTATGGGTTGCTCAGAAGCAAAGCAACCAAGATATGATTTCCAACATCGATTTACCAATGTGTTTGCCCATCCGACTGTAGATGATAGGAAGAACTCATCGGCAACTAAGTGTCTTGCAGGGAAAATAATTCCTACCAAAGAATACTGATAAAGATGGGATCACGATCACTCAAAATAGACAAGGTCACAAGGGCATGCCATGTAACTGAATAATGACTTGAGAATAGTGGACAACTACTCCAACCTGATGCCACTATAGCAGCATTACTGCACAGTACTAACAACTATATTTGAACCTGGTCAATTACATTGCTTGTTTTATGCATTAATGTTAATTTGTTAGAAAATGGATCAAATCACAGATAGAAAAGAGAGGAATGTTAATTGGTGCAATCAGGTTATTTTCTCTTAATTATGAAGCAGTCAAAAGAATCGATGGAAAATGAAGCAATTCAACAGCAATGTTTAGATAGGTGGCTTCAGCTTACTTTTTGAGAGGCTTTCTTCTTCCTTTTCTTAAGTTGTATATTTTCATAATATGATTCCAATTGAGCAGCACAAAATTAACCTGCTAAATGATTGTTAGGGTGCTAGGGCAGGATAAAATCTAAATGATTTTGTGTTGCCTGTGTTTGGTGGCTAGTGCGAGACTTATCTTGAGTTAATATTAACGTTTAACTACCTGTGTGATCAACTTGAAAACTTGCTGTAAGGCCTTGACCAAAATTAAGGATGGGTAGTCTTGTCTCATGAAACAAAGCCCACTACAACAGTTCCAGTCAGCATCAACAGCAAATAACAATATAACATCACTTTTGACACAGGAGCACTAGAAGCGGGTGTATTTTAGCAGCAGGGTTATTCTGTAATTCCCCAAATATGCTTCTAGTTATGGGTAGTGTTTTGGGTCAGATTTATGTAATTAAGAGTTCTAATGTCTTATCTGAGTCCCAAGATTCTTGCACCCGCTTGAGTTAGTCGTAAGCGTCAAGGATTACATTTTGCTAGCTTTTTTCCCATAACTTGCTATCTAGTAATACAATACAGCATTACAGCCATGCATTTTATGCTTTCATTCACATGATTGGCATGTCACAGAACAGATTAGCAGTGAAGGGAACTTACTTTCTTTTTATTGAAGTTCATCTTCTCAACAAATTCTTGATAAAGCATCTCATCCTCCCTTTTGGAGATCTCATAATGAACTTGATCCACATCTTTGGTAATGCCATCCCAGCCCTCTGGCATAACCTTGAAGTCAGGTTTGTAAGGAAGCGACGCAACATGGAACTCCCTATCATGAGAATTAAAAAACCTGGAAGAAACAAAAAATCACCATAAGATGCAATTTACTATTTCTCTTTCTCATTCCAAATTCAAAATTTTATTCACAATCCCACTAAAGGGGCGTTTGGAATAGCTAATCTCATAATTAAATTTATACCAAAAGGTAAGAGTTTATTGAGTGATAAACCTAAAAACAATCAATTTTGATGCGAAAACAAAGAAAAGGCTACACTGACTCGGGGAAAGTATCGAGCAAGAGCTCAACGGAATCATCGAGAGGGTGAGGGAGGTTTTTCTGTTCCTCTTCCTCAAGCTCCTTAAGCCAGAGAATGGCGTGAACCCTCTGGCGCATGATCCTATAGTCCTTAGCGAGCTTCTCAACTGTGTAGAGCTCAGGGTTCTCCTTGTGCAACCGGTAAATCTGGGCTTTCTCGGAATCCTTCAGATAGGAGCCTCTGGCACCGGGTTCCTGAACCTGCTTGAGCAACACGCTGGTCTCAGCCATGCGTCCCTGCCAGCTTTCAACGAAGCCCTTGCTTCTGCGGTTCTCGGCTTCCAGTTCACGGATCTTGTCCTCCATTTCTTGCAATTCGGAGAGAGACATGTTAGAGTCTTCACCGTTGAAGTGGCCGGCGGGGGACCAGGACGGAGGGCTTTGCCATCCCATCTCATCTATGCCTCCACTTTTTGAATCCGTTGAGAAACACAACCTTCTTGAAGGTCCCCAGTGCCTCCACTTTTCATGTGCCGCCACTCTTCGACTTGTTGATGTAATCAAACGTTGCAGGATTTGCATTGTATTATTGTATGTAATCCAGTTAGGGGGAGTGGCAGAGATAGAAGAAGAAGAAGAAGAATAGGGTTGGTCTTGGCTGCTCCTTCAGTGTTCTGCTCCGTTGATCAAGGTCTATAACCCAACCATGATTTTTTGGTCCGATTAAAAGATGACCGTTCGATATATAATTAAAAATATTTAAGGGTAGGATCTATCCGGGGAACCTGGTTAACAAGTTACACGTCAAATCAAGGTTATTAGCAAACAATGGAGACACTAACACAACAATGGAGGCAGTTCATGTTTTACAAACACCAAATTTAGATTTTCATTTGGAATTTAACAAATATTGTAGCCTGAATCACTTCTTCAATTTTTTCTTTTTCGTTTCATACGTAATTAATCAAGTTTTTATAAAAACTAGTAAATATACCCTGCGCAAGTTTATTTATATATTTTTTATTATATTATTTTGTTTAAAATAATTTTAAAAATTATAATTTAAATATAAAAATTTTTTTATAAAAAATTATGGATTTATTATTTCCTAAATGGTAATAGAATTTTATTATATTAAATTACATCAAAATGTAATTGTACAATGAAAAATTATGAAACATTTTATTATACACAACACAACACTAATAATTATGCTCATGCATTGTACATATTTATTTATATTTTTTTATTAAAATATTTTATTTAAAAATAATAATAATTTAAATATAAAAAATATATTATTTATTAATGGTAAGAAAATTTTATTAAATTAAATAACTTTAAAATGTAATTATACTAACAAAGATTATGAAATATTTATAATACTATAATAAATATATTGGGACATATATTCATTTATTTTTTTAGTAAATTATTTTATTTAAAAATAATTATAATGTAACATCCTTTATTTGTTTACATAATTTTTTTAAACAAAAATAAAAGTATCAATATGATGCGATTAAAATAAGTAAAAGATAAATAAATAGAAAGGATTTTCATGTATAAAAATTTAATTTACTAAAAATGAGAAAAACTTTAAAATTTCGTATATATAAATTTTGTTCATAATAGAATTGAGGATATAATTTCAAGATTATCAACTTACAATTACAGGAAAGCTGAAATTTCTATATTGATTATAAATTACTAAATATTAAACATGTGCTTTGAATAGTCATTTACAATAAATTTATTAAAATACTTCAAACTCTCATTAAGAACTTAATTAATGTAATTACATTCTTTACAATGACCGATCCTAACATAGCAGTCTCTTTCCTAGCATCCCTTGCACGTATGATCCTAGAACGAATCGACCTTCTTTACCTGAAAAATAGTTGTAAGGGTGAGAGCATCCCTTACCCACTAAAACTCCAAATTTATAAAGTAATCATATCAATCCAGAGAGTATTTTCAAAATGTACACCTAATAAGTTAGGAACATTCCATTCTTAACAAATTTATTCATATATATTATTTATCACTCAATCAATTAACATCTATTTCTCATTTATTACTATGGTCACTCCCTTCCGCATTTTATCTCACTTTAATAATTTTGATTTCAAAATATTCATCAATTCACATTAAAGGTACATGCATTCCTACTTCATCTAATTCACATATGTAATATAATATTTTTTGTTATTTAAAGATAGTTAATCTATTGACATCAATTCTATCAAATACTTAACTTTTCATATAATGATAAAACAGGAAAATACATCATTTCACACTTGACCAACTATCATTACTCAATACATAACGTTGTGTCACTTTATTCATTTCAAATATTAATATTTCATTATTCAACGGTACTCTAGGTACTCTCAAGGCTCCTAAATCGTTGCTAACACACTCTCACTAGTTGCAAAGGATTTACGCAGCATAGATAGTCGATGGTAAGTTAAACCACACACGGATACAACGTGTGCGTTTACAGCCTTCCAAGCAAAGGTATAGTTAGAAGTTCAATCAAGAAATGAGCGTGGAGCTTGTAAATGCATCCTACTTTTACATCGTGTATACATTAGTGAACCACATTTACCATTCTCATTTCTCCCAAATTTTCACAATCAACTCTAAACCCTATACCCCCAGTGTATCCTGAACTATCCATACCATATCTCAACTGTGGCATATCACTTATACTATTCTAATACATATGATGCAACCACAATAATTGATGTATTACAACATGTGTTATAATCTCACCTGTTGATGTATTACAACACATATATCATAATCACACCAATCGTTGTATTTGTAACACACGTACTAGTTTTTTTATTTCTTTTCTCCACACATATTCATCACTTTTCATATCACATAATTTTCCCAAAAATCATAATCATGCATCCTTATTCACAATAATATTTTCCATCCTCTTTCTCATCATTGATAATTTAAAATATATTCAGTAATTCGTATATTAATACATCGATTCTTCCCAGTACCGACTAAATTTCATCAAATTCATACCATTATCATATTCTATTATTTTATTACATAACCTCAAACAATAACACATCATCATGCACTTTAGCACAATTATCATATTTTATCACTTCATCACACATTTATCAGACAATACATATTAGCACACAATATGCCGGTTTCAGACTCAACGCAAATCATGCAGTTTCATAATAATTCACCAGAGGTCATGTTTTCGCAGTCTCAATAAAGTCTTCTAACCTAGAGTTCAGTATTTTTTGTCTTTTATTACTTAACTCTTGTACATCTCAAGTAACTTAATTATAAAATTTCTTAGTATTGTTCTAGCTCATGACTTTTGCTAAGAATTTGATTCCAGTAATTTCAAATAAACTCATAACCTTTCTTTATACTAAAAATCCACTCTTACCATATAGTTTCATAATTTCTTTTTATAAATTATTACTAAATAAGTGACTTTAGCTCTCATGGGGTCACTACATATAAAAATAAAAGTAGGGCTTAGAAATACTCCCCTTACCTGGAAATGGATATCAGAAAACTATGTTCTTCGTTGCTCTAAAGAGAAACTCCACGTCTCGATCTAAAATACTACCCAAGGACTAGAGTTATTCCTAATATCACAAGGTATATTTCTATTATGAAAAAGAGAAAAGAAAAATAGGAAAAAGATTCAAGGAATGAGCTCTAGAAACTTACTTAGATCCAAGAAGAACAAATGTCTTAGCTCAAATCTGAAAGAGATCTAGAGTTATTGGAAGTTTTTTCTGAGAAGGAAGAGGAAGAGAATGAAGAGGATTGTGAGGGATATGCGATTTGGTTAAAAATGAAGATTTTAGGGTGAGAGTTCTTTAAATATCTCTCAAACTCGTGACTTTCTCGCTACAGTGAAAAAATCAGAAGTTTTCTTCCTTTGTTATTTGTCATTCTAACTATAGCGAGAGTTCCTCGCTACAACGAGAGATTCTAGCTACAATGAGAGGGCTCCAGAAGGTTCCATTTTTACCACTTCATTCTCGTTACAGCAAGATATCTTATAGTGCATATCAATTAAACACTTCTAAATTCAAATAACATTCACAAACAAATAACATTAATTACAATAATAATAAATTACAAAATGAGAGTGTTACATATAATTTATATATAAAAAATATTTTATAACAAATTATAAATTTATTATTTATCAAACAGTAATAAGTTTTACTATATTAAATGTAGTTATAATGAAAAAGATTGCGAAACACTACACTATATACAATTTTTTTTGTATATTTTATATATTTATAAGCATTTGTTTATATTTTTAACAAAATTTAATATAATTCTTTAATTTTTATCAATTTAATTGAAAATAAGTAATAAAAATTTAAACATGTGTTTGGGGTAAGAAAATTTTTCTAAGTTAAAAATCATGTTGAAAGAAGCTACATTTCGACAAAATGTTAAGAATCAGGAAGGAGCCTAAAAATAGGTGTAAACTTGAGAAGTATTAGAAAGTTATCCAAGACCTTTTTGTTTCATATCAAAAGGATATATTTCGAGCTATTTTAGAGGTTTTTGTCACATCGTTGATTTTCCTCTAAAACTGCTCAAAAAATAGGATTGACAAGAAAATATTTTAAGTCCACAAAACTGATGGTCTTTTCGAGGAGTTTTGAGGAGTTTCCAAGTCCTTGACACCCAAAACTGCTCAAAAAACAGGAAGTGGTCAGAAAATATTCTAAGTCTGCCAGTCTAGTTGAGCTCCAGAGTCCCTCCAGAATTGCTCAAAACACATAAATGAGCAAAGAAAATATTCTGTCCTCAAGACCAAGACAAGCTCTCGAAACTCTAGAATTGCTCGAAAAACAGAAATGAGCAAAGAAAATATTAAGTCCACAAGACCGAGACAAACTCTTAAAACTCCAGAATTAGTGGAAAAAAGAAGTCAAGGAGAAATTATTCTAAGATCATAACACTAAATGAGCTTCTTAGATTTCTCCTAGAAACACTCGAAAGATAGAAAAACAAAAGTCTTGATAGGTTAAGTCATTTCAAAATCCAAAAGCAGTTACCAGCAGTCATTAACATTCACCACTACGAAAAGGAGATCGTGGGCGATAGCGGTTACGAAAGAAGCCCCAACCAATAACACGATCACAAGCAATTGTGGATAATGGGCATCAACAGTTGAAAGTAGTTACTAAGATGTGCCCGCAAAAGGAGGAGAACAGTGGTGGTCTTCCTACTTATAAATACTCCAAAGCGTCATTTTACAGAGGACGACTTTTTGCACCCTGACACTGCACCTAAATTCTCTAAAACGCTGAAAACCTGCACCGCGTCAGACACCAGCTACCAGGATACTCACGGTGGCCGCTGTTCGCTGTTGTGAGGAGTCGTACATTTACATTCCTGCACATTTACCTTTCTACATTTTAATTCCAGTTTGTTGCTTATTTTCTTTCTGTAATTTAGCTCCTATTTAGCATATTTCTATAAAAATATCTACTTCTGATTAAATTCTGTTTGACTATTAGTTGCTATTTCCGTTTAGTCCTCTACTTTATAACGCCAATTTTACTGTTACGTTAACAACACACTTAAAAGAACCTAAAGAGGACCTAATCCAGTCCCCAGATTGTTCTTGGATTATTTG